CTGTGCCCCCCCCCCCCAAACCCAGATGGCTCTGAGTATGTCCTAGAAGTTGGCAGGGTCTTCATGTGATGTTGACCCTGACACCCATCTGGGCAGCCCAGAGGCTGGGGTCCCAGGTGATAGGTGGAGTCAAAGAGGCCAGGAAAGAGGAGCATGGAAGAGAGAGCCCCAAAGCCCCCATCTCCTTCCACTCACATGCTTACCACCCCTACCTTCCTGCTCAGCAACTGGGCCTCCCACCCCCTCCGGTTCTCACCTCTCCCCTAACTCTCCGCCCTCTGCCCCTAGCCCAGGCTCCACGCTGCTCCTAATATCCTCCCATCTCCTCTTCCAGGCTCTATTTTTAAAATCAGATTTCCTTTACTGTACAAGGGAGCTGACAGGGAGAGGTATTCGCTGAGGGATGGGCCCCCCGCCCCCCCACACCCGAGCCTTCATAGACACACGTAGGCAGCCCCGACCCAATGGGCCACTTGCTCGGAGGCAAGCGGGGAGCTGACCTGACCGAGAAGGCTCTGAGCACGGCAGGTGGTGAGGCCGGGGTGTCTGTTTGTGGGTGTCGCGGGGAGAGGGTCTCACTCAAAGACCCCACACTGAGTGCTCTCAATCCTGATTGGGAGGAGGGTGTGAAGTGAGAATTTCCAAATCAGTGGGTATTTCTTAAGGAAATTGTCCTGATAATTGAGACCTCAACTTGGATCAAGCTACATCCGTAGGACTGAGCCCAGAAAAGAGGCAGGGGCAGCCATGGGCATGGAGTGACAGGGGAGGGGCGCCTCCACATTCTGAAATGATGGCCCAACAAACCCCAAAGTCCTCACAAAGGGGCTGGGCAGCTAAGCCCAGGGAACCTTCAAAGAAAGGGGTGGAGGGGACCTCCCAGCCTTGCCCCCAGGACCCTGCGCTCACCTCCGGCAGGGCATGTAACTGTGAGGGCGTGGTCCCCACCGCCTTGCTGGTGGCAGATGTCTGGCAGGGTGAGGTCACCTCTAATTCTTTACCCCAGGATCCAGTACCTGTCCAGGAGGGGGAGAGAAAGAATTAGGACGTGCGGCTGTATGAATTAATGAATTACAATGCAGAGTATCCGTTTAAAAACATCAAAAGGCCTGGGGACAGTAAAATCGAGATGTGTTTGGGGATAAAAAGTCAGGCTTTCGGGGGGNTAGGAGGAGGAATGGGGCGGGGCGTTGAAGCTAGAAACTGGACATGATGAAAAATTTTGGTTTTGTGCAAAGGAATTTGGGTTTTATATCCTAAGTAATGAAGAGCAACGTAAAGGTTTTTCAGTTTAGCAAATACTTGGTGCCATTTCCATTCCACACTCAGGCCTCTGGGTCTTGTGTTGTGGACGTGAAATATGGGCGGTTTTAAACCGAGACCACCGCCAGTAAATCTGGGTGCCACACTGAGGTGTCGGGGTATCTTGTCAGTGATGGAAAAGCGTGACAAGATTTCAAGACGGGCTTCTACGAATAGATTTGAGGGTTTCGGGTAAGAAATCTGGACTTTATTTTGAGGAGTGACAGGATCAAACTTTTAAATCATACTAAAGAGTTTGGGTTCCTGCCAAAGGGTTTTAAGAAATGTGATGGTGAGGATTTGTGCCTGTGGGAGATAAGTCTGCAGATAAACATGATAAAATGTACTTTAAGGCTAATGGCTCTGGGCTCTATATCACAGGCAATCAGGAAAGGAACATTTGGACTTTATGGGTGGAGGGGATGCTGATGTCTGACTTTGGGGAGCACGCCAAGGAGGTTTGATTGATGTTGGCACCAAAGTTGAGAGACTACAACCAGGGGACTCCCATGATCAGCATCGGGAATATGCAAAAATATTTGGAATTTATTTCGAGGCGCTGACAGGATTCGATTTTTGCACACGCCTAGGAATTTGATTTTAGCCAATAAAGTTCCAAGGGAGGGACATCATGAGATTTTTTTTGTATCTGATAAACAGTATGCAGGGAAATTACAAAATAAAATTCACAATTTATGCTAAGAACTTAGACTCTTGATTCCATAATTCCACCACTGAGAGAGTGTTAAGAGTTTAAGGCAGAGCTACAGGATCAAATTTTATACACTGTGCTAGGAAGTGTGAATTTTATTTTAAGGGGATGACAAGATCGCATTTTTATATCATGCTAATAAGTTTGGACTTAAGCCAATAAAGGCTTTAAAAGAATGCCGGGGTGAGATTTAGGGTTTTTTTATAGACCAGTCTGAAGATAAATTACATGGTAAAAACACTGCATTTTATGTTAAGTAGTTGGGACTTTATGTTACAAGGCAATGAGGAAACCTTGAAAAGTTTCAAATTGAGTTACATGATCCAACTTATGCATTTCGGCAGAGCTACAAAAGTGGATTTTTATGGTAAAGATAATGCGATCAGATTTTTATAACAGGCCAAGGAGATGAGATTTTATGTGAGAGCTGAAGGCATCTGAGCATTTCATTTTAGGGAGGGATATGATCTCATTTTTGAACCCTCAATGCAGAAGCGCTGGGGTTTTCGCCAAAAGAGTTGTAAGGAGTGACTGATGAGAGTTTTGTCTCCAGGGGAATTAGCTGGCAAAACACATTTTATGCTAAGGTATCTGGATTTGATGAGCCAGATAATCAAGAGCATGGACAGCCCAGAGGAGGCACCCTTTGGCCCAAGTGCATTGTGCCTGCGAGGGAGTCTGGATTTCAGCCACTGAGAGGTCTTAAAGAGGGAGGGCGTGCAGAGTAATTAGAAAATAAAGTCTGTTTTATGCCGAGGAGTTTAGATCTTGTGTCTAAGGTGACTGAGATATCAGAGGGTTTTATACAGAAAGTTACAGAACCAAATTCAGGTGTCTTGCAAGGGCCTGAGACCTTTTATTTGGAGGAATTATATGGGCAAATTTTTGTATCATGCTTGGAAGTTTGGAATTAGGTCAATAAAGGGTAGCCAGGTAAGGTTTTGGGTTCCATGTCCATCAATTTGGAAATAAATGACAAGGTAAAGAAAAAATTTATTTTATGGCAATTGGAACTTCATATTATAAGCAATGAAAAGAAACTTTTGTTAAGTTTTAAAAAGAGAAGTTAGGAGGAAACTTTTATGCATCCTGCTAAAAGTTTGAACTTTGACATTAAAAGGAGTTATTAAGATCGCGTTTTTATAATATGCCAAGGATACTAGATTTTAAGTTGAAGACAGGAACATTGAAGGACTTAATCAGTTACATCATCAAATTTGTAAATAATTAATAATTGTAGACTTTATAGTAAAGAAGGGGTATGTGATCTAGTTTTTAAATCATCTTGCTAAGGAGTTTAAATTTTAGTCAATAGAGTTTTAAGGTCTTTAAGAGACATTTTAAATTTTAATCAATTAAAATTTTTAAATTTGTAATATTAGCCAATGAAGGATTTTACAAGGCACACTGAGATTTTAAATTTTAACCAATTTAAATTTGTAATATTAGCCAATGAAGGGTTTTAAAAGACATACTAAAATTTTAAATTTTACCGGTTTTTTTATTTTAAATATATCAGCCAGTGAACAGTTTTTAAGAGTTTTTAGTGAGATACTGATATTTATATTGTACATTTGAGATTTTAACTAATTTAAATTTTTAAATTTAAAATTTTAGCCAATAAAGGGTTTTATGGGTTTTAAGGGACATAATGAGATTTTTATTCCTAACAGAAAATTAAGTGAATTAGTCAATTAATTTTGTATTTCAATTAGAACTTTATACCAGAGACTTAGAATTTTACAATAAAAACACATAGCTTATAGGACTTTTCATGAAGAGAAAATAAGTTAATTTGTGCAAGGTGTTCTATGCATGTTGCTATGGTAGAGATGCTGAGGGGGATGGGGATGCTGAGGTCATAGAGATGCTGAGGAGGATGGAGATGCTAAGAGGGATGGAGATGCTGATGGGGATGCTGAGGGGGATGGGGATGATGAAAAGGATTTTATCACATTTGTTCTTTATGCTAAAAAATATACATAATCTCTACCTTGAGAAATGGCATGATCAGAATTTTCTATTATTCTAAGGCCTTGAAATTGTAGCCAGAAAATTATTTTGGTGAGTTATGTGTCAGGAATTTTTATGCTAAAAGACTTGGACTTAATATAGTAGACAGTAAATAAACAGCAAAAGGTTTTAATCAGAGGACCTGCGGGATCAAGCTTAACTGTCATGCTAACAGCAACATACTTAATTTTGAGAAACAGCAGATCAGAATTTTATATCTTGTTGGACAGTTCGGACTTTAGCCAATGAGGAGTTTACAGAAGGGAATGAATATTTGTTTGTAATGGATCGGCCCAGTGGTTAAGGAGAAAACCGAGAAATAACAAAAGGTGTTGCACATACAAAAAGCATAACCGTAGAGCTAATCTATGGAATGACCAGAACTCAGCTTGCTGCACCCCAGCAGAGAAGAAATGCGCAAAACCCCACCCCAACATCCCTTTAAATTCAGTCTTGACCCACTCAAAACCACCCATGACTAGATTTTCAAATACCCACTCCAAGACAATCAGACGTCAAAGATACCTCCCACCTCTACCCCTCAACTCAATGTCCCAACTCGGCTGGATACGCCCTGCTTTGGGGGAGAACCAACCAGCAACAGAGAGTAACAGGGTGAGCCCCGCCTGATAGGATCGGAGGGGGGAGTCAGTATGTTTGCACGTGTGGAACTGAGGCCAAATTTTTAAAGTTCCCAGACCCCACAGACCAAGAGGGCGATCCTGGGGAGGTAGAGACTTTAGGAGGGGTGGGGAGATGACTGGCAGGTTTCCTCAACAGCTCAGAGCTGGGGAGAACACGGCAGCAAGTGGATGAAAGGGAGGAAGGGAAAGTAGCAAAAAAATCCCAGCTGGGATCGCGTGGCCACGCGCAAGTCTCTGGCACATCCCCGGTGTTTTACAAACATTTACGGGGAAAGTAAAACCCGGAGTCCAGAGCTCTACATCCAGCCCCCGCAATTTCTACTTTGCATCTAAGGGAGGAAATAAAGCTATTTCGGGCAGTTGACCCAGCTGACGGAACAGTGGCCAAGTGCCCATTTTTCTCCACTCCCCCGAACTTGTGAAACAGCAGGCATCCCCGCTAGACATTCCCGCCTCGCACCGAGGCCAAGCTTGCTCGCGGCGCCTCGCCTGCCAACTCTGAGATGTGAGCTCAGTGACTTTCGAGTGACCACAGAAGGGAAGGAGCACTGACCAGGCACCTGTGCCAGGGTGAAATGAGGCGGCCAGTGCATCCTGCCAGGTGCCTGCCTGCCACGGCGCTCTGGGCCCATCGCCCCACCAAATTTATGGGCTGTGAATTTCTCAAGGCCTTGGGGAAGTAGGTGGGCCTGCCAGGCGGAGGAAGCCGGGGAGAGAGTAGGCAGGAAGGTGAGAGTAGGCAAGAAGGACCTACTCTCTCCCTGTGGGCACCACAAGTGGGACGCAGAGGCTCCCCCCGTTTCTCTCTGTTCGGATGTGTAGGGCATCTGATTTGTCCTGGGGATCCTGGCCCTGACCTCCTGAGACCCTAAACCACTCCCTTTCCTGTCCGCCCTCTCCCCCCCGCCCCAGCAGGTTCTGGTCGCTGTGGTCCCCAGTCGCTGACTGGACACATCGCCACCTTACCAGTCTTCAGAGACCACTCCTTTCCATCCGACGAAATGATAGAACCCTCTGAAGACTCATTTGAGACGATGATGGAGCGTAAGAATCCATCATCAAAACAAATGGAGTCCTCCGAGGGCTCATCCAACACCACCGCGGAGAGAGAAGACGGAGCGCAGGCGGGGGCCGGGCCCGCCCCGGGCCCAGCCCAGCCAACGGAGGAGATGCCCACTGTCCTCCTCCAAGACATGGAGGAGCCATCCAGTGTTCCAGATAGAAAAATAAAGGATTCACCCAATGACCTACTCCAAGACCTGGAGGAGGCATGCGTCGCTGCAGAGGGGGATCCGGCCGGCGAGGAACCTGGTGAGATGGGAGAAGCATCCGTCAACGCGTGGGGGGACCCAGACGAGGACGACGACACTGACCTGAGCGACTGGGGAGACGACGATCTTGAAGAGCCGCCCGCGGCCTCCAGCTCGGAGTTCGGGGCCACGTTCGAGTCCCTGGTCTCTGCGTACTTCCAGATGCAGGACCTCAGAGAGCAACAGAGAGTGGCAGAGGAGATCCTGGTGAGGGGGCTGAACGAGGGCCGCCTGCCTCGCCCCGAGCCCTTCTCCGGCGACCGCAGGCAGTTCCACGAGTTCATCGTGCTCTGCCAGCTGATCCTACAGAGCTACCCCAGGAAGTTCTTCAGCGACCGCCGGCGGGTGAGGTACGTCACCAAGTACCTCTCGGGCACCGCCCTCGAGTGGGCCCGAGGCCTAGCGCAGGAAGGCAGCCCCCTGCTCAGCGACTTCCCGGCCTTCCTAGAGGCCATGTCGCAGGTGTTCGAGTACAAGCAGTCACTGCGGGCGGCGGAAGACGCCATGTTCGACATCAGGCAGGGCGACCGCCCCGCCATCGACTACATCAATGAGTTCCGGGCCCTGGTACCCACCTTGGGCTGGCCAGACGGAGTCCTGCAGGCCCACCTGTGCCTGGGGCTCAAGGAAGAGATCAGGCACTATCTGTTCCGCGTCCCGCAGCCGGACTCGCTGGACAGTCTGATCGTCCTCGTCCTGCAGATAGAAGAGAAGCTGGCGGAGAGAAGGGCCGTGCTCAGGCTGCCCCCAGAGTCCCGCCCGCGGAACATGACCTGGATCGACTCACCGGCCCCGGAGAAGTGGGCGGTCGACAGCTGGCTGAGCTATGAAGTGCAGCCTATCGATCGCAGGCACCTCTTCCTGCTGCTCCTGGTGAGGGTGAACCCTTACCACAGCGTCGCCGTCCAGGCGCTGGTGGACTCGGGCGCAAGCTCCAACTTCATGGATGAGAGGTTTGCCCAAGAGCACTACGTCGAGTTGTACGAGAAGCCCTACCCGCAGCGCATCCACATCATGGATGGCTCCCTGATCGGCAACGAGCCCGTGTGGCTGCACACCGAGCCCCTGGTGTGCATGCACCAGAACCACCAGGAGACCATCCAATTCGACATCGTCCCGTCACCCAACGTCGCCGTGGTCCTGGGCATCGACTGGCTCCGTATCCACGCCCCCCAGGTCGACTGGGTCAAAGGCCGCTGCACTTTCCACTCTCCCTACTGCCTGAAGAACTGCTTCCGCCCACCCCCGCCATGCATCGCGCTCGAGAAACACGCCGTAAGCCTGCTGCCCGGTCTGTCGCCCCAGTATTCCGACCTTGCCGACGTGTTCAACCCGAAGGAAGCAGATGAGGAGACTTCCGACCAGCCAAGCTCAGACGGATCCGATGATCTTTCTGAATCAGAGCCCTCTGAGCTTCAGCAGGCTGGAGACAGTGATCAGAGCAGCGAGACCGACGACGAGAGTCCCTCTTCGGATCCTCAGGAACCTGTGGATGCTGAGGCGCAAAAAACAGCCAGGCGGGGGAATGAAGACCAGGCCCTGGAGGACATGCTGACCAAAACGGTGGACTGCATACAGAGCATTCCCGTCCTGTTCAACCCGTTACATGGAGCTAAGTGGTTCACACGGCTGGAGCTGCGTGGGACCACCATGGACGAAGACATGAAAATACTGGAAACGGAAGAGGTATGGAAAGCGGCGTTTGGGATGGAGCTTCAAGCGATGGAGAGCTACCAGCCCTTTCAGATCTGCGCAGACCCTCTCATCCCCCAGAAGGTGCTGCTCTACATCCTGAGGGACATGCTGGGCAAATTCGTGCTCTCCTACGGGCACGACGTGGTCATCTACTCAATGAGCCAGGAGGAGCACCTCCTACACGTCCGCCAAGTCCTGGTCCGCTTCCGACACCACTACGTCTACTGCTCGCTGGACAGGAGCGAGTTCCACCGGCACAACGCCGAGGTCCTGGCGTTCATCCTGACGCCCAAAGGGGTGAGGCTGAGCAAGAACATCTCCAATACCATCCGGGGGTACCCGATCCCCGGCTCTAAGAAGTCCCTGCGGCACCTGATCCAGTTCATGTTCCCCTACCGCCACTTCGTGGAGCGCTTCGCCGTCACGGCGGAGCCCCTGGTGCGGCAGCTGCTGAGCAGCGCCCCCTTCCACTGGGGGGACGAAGAGCAGGAGGCCTTCGAGAGCCTGAAGCGGGCGTTCCGCAAGGCGCCCCTGCTCCACCACCCGAAGCCCCAGAACCCCTTCTACTTGGACACCGGCATCACCAGGACCGCTCTATACGCCTCCCTCATCCAGATCGACGAGCACAACGGCAAGAGGGTCTACTGCGCTTTCTACTCCCGATACCTCGCCCCCGACGAAGTGGACCTGCCCCCGCTGGAGAGGAGGGGTCTTGTGATACGGGCCGCCCTGAAGGTGTGGAGGTGCTACCTGGAGAACACCGAGGAGCCCATCATGATCCTTCTTAATACCGAGGATCTAGCCTCTCTGAATAATGACAGGCTCACCGTAATCCTCCCGGGGCAGTGGGTCGGCTTCTTCTCCCGCTTCCACTGGGACATCATGGAGCGGCCCGAGCAGGACAGCGGCTGGGTCCTGCCGCCGCGCCACTCCCACCGCAGGCCTTTCCAGGCCCGCAGTGCCGCCTGGCCCTGGAGGCCCATCGCCACTGGAGGAGGGGAGGGTGGAGAGGCGCCTCCCCAGACCCAATCTCAAGAGTTCCTGACTCAGATGCCACTGGACCAAGTCCTCCTCGTGCACTTCAGCGTGGCCCAGATCAAGGCCGTCGTCCTGAACTTCTTCAGCGGCCTGCTCTTCTGGAAGGACAACCTGGCCCTGGCGGCCCTGCTGGTGATTCTGAAGGAGAAGCAGCGCCCCCCGCAGCTGCCCGCGCCTACCCTGGACGTGGCACGCCTGCCGGTCCAGCGCTCCCCGCGCCTCATCCTGGACCAGTCCCTGCTCACAAACCCTGGCATTGCCGCGACCATCAGCCGGCTGCTGACCCAGATGCCCCCTGACGTGGACACTGACGCTGTACGGGCCGATCAGAGGGCCCTGCTGCCTCGGGGCCCCCGGGTCCTACACCTGCCACCTGAGTTCTGGATGATGCTGGGTGAGCGCTTTGGCATCAGAGTCGCCCCCGGACAACCCCAACCCATCCGGCTCGGGAGACACTCCCTGGAGCTGCACGTCGTCGGTGGTGATGTCGTCTTGCGAGAAGCCCTGCAAGACGACCTGCAACGTTACCGTCAGTGGGGCCTGCATGACGGCCTGCAAGACACCTCGCAGGACGCGCAGGCGGACGACGACGCGCAGGGGGATGAGCAGGTGCAAGGGGACCAGGTGCAGGAGGAGGATGGGCAGGAGGAGGATGCTCAAGGGGACCAGGTGCAGGAGGATGATGCTCAAGGGGATCAGGTGCAGGAGGATGATGCTCAAGGGGACCAGGTGCAGGAGGATGATGGGCAAGAAGATGATGGGCAAGGGGACCAGGTGCAGGAGGATGATGGGCAAGAAGGTGCTGGGCAAGGGGACCAGGTGCAGGAGGATGATGGGCAAGAAGATGATTCTCAAGGGGACCAGGTGCAGGAGGATGATGGGCAAGAAGATGATGCTCAAGGAGACCAGGTGCAGGAGGATGATGGGCAAGAAGATGATGCTCAAGGAGACCAGGTGCAGGAGGATGATGGGCAAGAAGATGATGCTCAAGGAGACCAGGTGCAGGAGGATGATGGGCAAGAAGATGATGCTCAAGGAGACCAGGTGCAGGAGGATGATGGGCAAGAAGATGATGCTCAAGGAGACCAGGTGCAGGAGGATGATGGGCAAGAAGATGATGCTCAAGGAGACCAGGTGCAGGAGGATGATGGGCAAGAAGATGATGCTCAAGGAGACCAGGTGCACGAGGATGATGGGCAAGAAGATAATGCTCAAGGGGACCAGGTGCAGGAGGATGATGGGCAAGAGGATGATGGGCAAGGGGACCAGGTGCAGGAGGATGATGGGCAAGAAGATGATGCTCAAGGAGACCAGGTGCAGGAGGATGATGGGCAAGAAGATGATGCTCAAGGAGACCAGGTGCAGGAGGATGATGGGCAAGAAGATGATGCTCAAGGAGACCAGGTGCAGGAGGATGATGGGCAAGAAGATGATGGGCAAGGAGACCAGGTGCAGGATGATAATGGGCAAGAAGATGATGGGCAAGGGGACCAGGTGCAGGAGGATGATGGGCAAGAAGATGATGCTCAAGGGGACCAGATGCAGGAGGATGATGGGCAGGAGGATGATGGGCAAGAGGATGATGGGCAAGGGGACCAGGTGCAGGAGGATGATGGGCAAGAAGATGATGCTCAAGGGGACCAGGTGCAGGAGGATGATGGGCAAGAAGATGATGGGCAAGGGGACCAGGTGCAGGAGGACGATGGGCAAGGGGACCAGGTGCAAGGGGCCGGGGCCCTCGACCCCTACCCTGCCCTCCCAGAGCCCCCGCAGGCCTCTGGAGGAATCCTCGGCTTCCTGCACAGCCACGTGTATGGTCCCCAAGATCAGCCCAGCCTGGCTCAACCAGACCCAGCAGCCAGGAGCCTGGCCCACTTCCTGGCCATGATCTGTGCAGAGGACCCAGTCCCACTGCGGGGCAGACAGCCCAGGGGACGAGCAAGGCTGGAGGAGCTCCCCGAGGATGACGAGGACCCCGAGGATGACGAGGACCCCGACGAGCAATGAAAACACCTCTGCACCAGCAGCGAGACCCCCGCTCCTCTGCCCGACACCCCACAAGACCTCCGCTCAGCCTCCCCGTGCCTCAGACTGCTTTGCTTGCCCCCAGCGCTCTTCTTGCCACTGCCAACCCAAGGGAAACCCACTCAAGAAGGGCAATGACCTCTTCAACTCATCCACCAGCAACATCATCAGTGCCAACCAATGGACTAACCAGTCACCAGACCCAGAGCCACCTCAGGGCTACACACATTCCGTCTTAATTCTCCAGGTCCCAGGCCCACCACTGGGAGTGAGATCGTGACAGGAGAAAGCAGTGATGAGCGGAAATGACCCCATGACCCCAGGCCAGGCAAGGAATTGGGCATAGCAGACAGACAAAGCCAAGCAAGCAGATGCCAGAGACCCACCCCGCTGCCGTGGCACGTGGCCATCTTGTGCCATCCTGGGACACTGACCTCGGGTGCTCCACTGACTTCTTCTACCTCCAGCACCGGTGCTCCTGCTCCCTTGGACCCGACCGCCACCCCCACTTCTCCACGTCGTGCTGTGGTGCCTCCCCCTTC